CACAAATCGTAATCTCTAATTACAGCGATTCTTCGCCCTTTTTCTTGTAATGCATCAAGCTCCCTAATGAAAGTCTAGGTTATGTGTACCTAACACGCATTGGGCAATCGCACGAAATGATTGATGCGCTTCGCACGAACGTTTCTTCAAGAATTTCGTGTGTTCATCGTTTCCAATAGAAGTCGAACATCTTCGAATGTCGTTCGAAATCTTGTAGAATTTTTATATCTTTTATAGAATATTTATATCGTTAAAATCTGTTGCTTTCTATTCTCTATTATTTATCTTATTTATTCGCTATCATACTTGAATCAATTTAATCTCTAGTAATACCGCTAACTCGAAAAACAAGCGAATCACATATTCGAAACATCCCCGTAACCGTCCACGCGCATCATCGCGTAGCTCGTGCAAATATTAATAAGCGAAGTTCAGCCAATTAAAAGTTCCCAGCTTTCAGTATACGGCACCGTTCAAAAGTTAAAATCATCACTCGTAATGGCTTGAGACTCAATTTTCAAAACTTAATAGAAACAACGTTGCATTCGGTGCTCAGTTTTTTCTACGTTGAATTCATACTCGCATATCGTAATGTATATTACAACGAGCAATAAATCAAAATAAGTAATGCAGCGTACATAGTTCCACTATAATAGTTCCACTATTTTCTATACATTTTCACAGATTTCTGCACACGTCGTACACTATAGTTCGTACAAATCTTGCACGTATTTTCGCATATTTTGCATATTAGTTAGCGATAAGAATTATTGCTCCATTTTGTACGTCGAAAGCTGCGACCTAATTGTTACCAATCAAATTATAATATAAAGAATGGCGACCATAGTTGGCGTATTCCGTTGAGCGACTAAATTTGCAATGACAATACATAGGAACTGGATAACGGAACAGCGAAAATTGCAGAATAAAAGCACGCGATCGGGCAACAATCGTTGACCGTACACTTTCCTCAACCCTTTTGTCCCTTCCACCCTCCGGTCTTGTCGCAATATTTGCATTGTTCCAGTGTATTTTCGAGTACACCAGATCCATCTCGTGTCCCTGGCCCCTTACCAGCGAACCGTTACGAGACGAGTCGCTGCGCGAGCCCTCGTAAATCCATTTATTTATTTATTTATGTGCCACGGGAGCGCGGGGACCGGATGGTCGTGGGGACGTCGAGGCTTACGGTGGCGTATGCATCGAACCGGGGATTCCCGTGGGACACTGGAAACGGCGGACAGGGAGAAAGATCGCAGAAGTCACGGATATTCTGCGCGGTAGGCTGATGTCGCCAGGAGAGTAAATTCTCCCGAGGCAAGGTGGCTTGAAACGAAAATGCTGTTGTGCCACTTAGACAGGAAAAAGAATCTGCCCCATTTCCCTCCCCCTCTTTCTACACACCCGCCCCCTCTGCGCGTTCGTCTATTATTGCGAGAAGGATTCTGCCACGGTGCCCGATTTCCGGCAGCTTTTATGCCGTGAATATTTAACGAACCTCTTTAAAGCCAGCCTCCGTCGACGGTCGAACGAGGACGACGCGTCTTTCCTCTGTCCGCGCGAACGCTTTTCGGTTAGCATCGCGTCGAATCGTTGATCGAAACTATTCTTTTTTCGCTTTTGTACGTAGCGATGCGAAATATTGCCGCTGATGAAAGGAATCGACGCTCTAAATCACGAGTAAAACCATTACAAAGGACGAGAATAGTTTCTTGTTATAAATAAGGATCGTCGACGAGGAACATTTTAATTCGTTACAGATAATCTAATTATTGTAAGTAAAGCACTGGCGTATGTCGCGAACAACGCGCGCTGTAATTTTTATTTTAAATTGTTGTTTACGTGCCAAGTTTTCAAGGTCGTCTCAAGGTTTTCCGCCGTCGGTTTTACGAGAAAAACAGTACGGCACGAAGCGGCGCGTGGTTTAAATATTACAAGCGTGCGACAAGCTTGTAAAAATTCGATGAAAAACATTCTGCAAATTATTGATATTCTGCGTAAAGTTTGGTAATCATTTATCGCGTGTCGTCAGCAAAATCTAGCAGTGTTCTTTGCTCGTTGAATACAAGGTGTCCCAAAATGATGGTATTTCCGAGAGATGAGAGGTTCCTGACGTTATTTGAAGCAACTTTTTCCTCAGCGAAAATGCGATCCGCCGTTTGGTTTACGAGTTATTGAGGAAAAACGGTGACCAATGAGAGGCGAGCTCTGCTGGCGCGAGGCGGTCGAGCCAATCGGCGGAACTGGGCTTCGACAGTGCGCCGCCTCGCGCCAGCCGAGCTCGCCTCTCATTGGTCACTGTTCTTCGTTAATAACTCGTAAACGAAGCCGCGGATCGCATTTTCGCAAAGGAAGAAGTTGCTTCAAATGTTCTCAGGAACTCTTCGGTTCCCGAAAGTATCATAATTTTGGGACACTCTGTATATCTAGAACAGGAGTTCTAAACGGAACCGAGCAACGAACGTTAAAGTCGGAATATGTACTTCGAGTTGGTAGCAACACAGGTATAAAACCAAAGCTCTGTTACGTACGTATGTATAGGTGCAACAAACTCCGCGGTTTATTACTTCAGACTCTGGTAGCGACGGGTCGCTTCTTCGCAAGAAAAAGTAATTTCCGCAAATTTTACTTTCAAAAGGTACGGCTTGCTCGCAAAAGGTAGCCCTGCTGTGCACGGATCTACACTCCCGTATACAGGGTGTCCTTCTATAAATGTCCAAGAAAATATCTGGCGAGTGATCGAAGGTACATGAAAGTTTAATAGGAGAATTTTACGCGGTTTTATGTCAGCCACGAGGTGTTCGCAATTTATCTTCTTTTTATCCGTGACCTTTTCGAGTTACGATGGTCGACTGAAATTTTTTAAACTGTCTCGTTATAACATTAATAAATATGATCAAATATGTTTCTCTACGAAGCGTTCCATTTTCGTGCTGGTCGTTCCAAACTGTAACGTTTATAATACTATTATTGTTTTGTTTTATTATTATAAAGTTATTAGTATTAATAGTATCAGTAGTAGTATCGGTATTGGTTTTAGTATTATTATTATAAAATTACTATAAAATAGCAATTTTTATTCAGCTCCAGTTTCTCGAGAACCGACGCGAGAAATGTTTATTTTAACGCGAGGATCCGCGGTCGGGTTATCGCGGTTCGCAATGATTTTATTCGACACGGTGTAGGATAGAGATCACCGTAGAAGGGAACTCCATAAGACCGTATTACGAGCGGGTCCTAGTTTTGTCCCGGGACTACACGCACTGTTGAAATGTTGCCTTTTCGCACGGTTGGGCATGAGAACTGCTCGTACAGAGCGTTATTTCGAACACAATGTAATTGCGCCCATAATTTTTAACGACGCTTCTAACGATGGANTAATAACTCGTAAACGAAGCCGCGGATCGCATTTTCGCAAAGGAAGAAGTTGCTTCAAATGTTCTCAGGAACTCTTCGGTTCCCGAAAGTATCATAATTTTGGGACACTCTGTATATCTAGAACAGGAGTTCTAAACGGAACCGAGCAACGAACGTTAAAGTCGGAATATGTACTTCGAGTTGGTAGCAACACAGGTATAAAACCAAAGCTCTGTTACGTACGTATGTATAGGTGCAACAAACTCCGCGGTTTATTACTTCAGACTCTGGTAGCGACGGGTCGCTTCTTCGCAAGAAAAAGTAATTTCCGCAAATTTTACTTTCAAAAGGTACGGCTTGCTCGCAAAAGGTAGCCCTGCTGTGCACGGATCTACACTCCCGTATACAGGGTGTCCTTCTATAAATGTCCAAGAAAATATCTGGCGAGTGATCGAAGGTACATGAAAGTTTAATAGGAGAATTTTACGCGGTTTTATGTCAGCCACGAGGTGTTCGCAATTTATCTTCTTTTTATCCGTGACCTTTTCGAGTTACGATGGTCGACTGAAATTTTTTAAACTGTCTCGTTATAACATTAATAAATATGATCAAATATGTTTCTCTACGAAGCGTTCCATTTTCGTGCTGGTCGTTCCAAACTGTAACGTTTATAATACTATTATTGTTTTGTTTTATTATTATAAAGTTATTAGTATTAATAGTATCAGTAGTAGTATCGGTATTGGTTTTAGTATTATTATTATAAAATTACTATAAAATAGCAATTTTTATTCAGCTCCAGTTTCTCGAGAACCGACGCGAGAAATGTTTATTTTAACGCGAGGATCCGCGGTCGGGTTATCGCGGTTCGCAATGATTTTATTCGACACGGTGTAGGATAGAGATCACCGTAGAAGGGAACTCCATAAGACCGTATTACGAGCGGGTCCTAGTTTTGTCCCGGGACTACACGCACTGTTGAAATGTTGCCTTTTCGCACGGTTGGGCATGAGAACTGCTCGTACAGAGCGTTATTTCGAACACAATGTAATTGCGCCCATAATTTTTAACGACGCTTCTAACGATGGAACGCGCGTACAGATTAAACAATTTTTCGAACACACGAGTCCCGTCCGTCTGTTCCCATTACACAAGCCTTATATTTTCATTTTTACAGCTAGATATAATTCTATATATAATACTTTCATCTCTTTTTTTTGTATTCCTGTTAGAGAGCTTGCGAAATACAATCTTTTGGAATAGAACCATTTTATACGCGAGTTTCTGAACTAGATGACCTGAATTCTTTTTTAGATGACGAAGCTGACGGATTTTCAACACGCATATAAGTTACCGAGATCTACTTTTTGTCGTTCCAGGTAGTGACAAAATTAAAAAAAAAAGGCATTTCAGTCATCGTCTAATAGACCAGTGCCTCTATCGTCTCAAAAAATACAAGTCGTCTAGCTCTATAAAATAGTTACCGCGTTTCAAAAGGTGTACGAACACTTTCGTACATGTACGAGTTCAAAGACGCGTCTGTCGCACACGTTCAAAAGGTATCCGCGTTTTTCTAACAAACCTAAATAGCCGCAAGCAGATCTGCAATACGAAAGCTGACGGACAATTCGGTACCCGCTTACCCAATTGGTCATCTTCTGCCTCCGTTCCACCAGGCGTTGCTGAAGCTTAGGCCCCGGCCCGGAAAGGAACGCCTTCACCAAGTGCCTGGTCTTCTCCAAATGATTCGGAGCGACCACTTCGACCTGGGCCAGATACTTCTGCATGGTCACCTCTAGGCTCGGGACTGGTAGAATCGGCAGAGTTTGTACTTTCTGTAAAGGCGAAAGAAAAGTGAGAATTACGACGAAGCGTTTCAGCGCTCGTTGTTGCAGAGAATCGTTGCGTTCGGTTAAATAAACCGTGTAAACCGGGGACAACGTGCGGCGCCCTTAACGCGTAGTTTCGAACAAGTACGGAAGCACATAAATTTGCGGATGACGTGCGTTGACCTTTATCCGCGATGTCACGGCGATTGTAAAATAAAGAATCGATCGAGAAACGAAGCGTGCCTCTGCGGGAGCAAGGGCCCTTAAGGGCACTATGCTTCGTTGATCAGAATCCCCCTTTCTAACGAGGCCGACTCTGCGAACGCGACCCTTCCTCCTTCGTTTCGAATGTTTCCGGCACAAGTGCAATAGCGGGGGAGGGGTTGGGGGCAGAGGGGCGGACGGGATTGCGAGGTGGGAAAGAGCGCAGACTGGATGAAGCGGGGGGAGAGAAGGAGAGCGAAAGAGACGAAGGGAGCTGGGGTTAGTTGCTTGGACTGTACGTAACTTATAGACCTGGCATCGGATCATTTTCTTTCGGCAAAGGTGAAATCATCGACGGCGATTTCGAGAAAGCGACGCATCGACGTTCCGAACGCGTAGGAGACACGCCTTCGCCGATTCGCTTTCTTTGAATCATGATTCACGGTGCGTTTATGTGCAGCTGTTGTAATTAAAAAGATACAAACAACTTGACCGATGATATATTTTAGAACAGTCGATTAACGTTCAGCTGTTTCTAATAAAATATGATTTACCACAAGAAAGAATACGTTTGATAGCAAAGAGTAAGAGCGATTGCGTCGTCGAAAATAATTTTTGTTCAATTATTGTATCATACAATTACTGTAGTAATTTATATGAAAATTATTAACTAACAAAATCGAAGGGCCGCTCGACAAGTAGCCGCTTCTCGGCGAAGGCTACGGAGCCCCTAAGTCGGCTATTTATCGAGCGGCGCGTGGCACGCACGCTCACCCCTGACCGCGTCTATTTGCTTTCTTTCCGTGACCGCATACAGGAAGACCGAGGTCGCACCGGTTAGACTGGACGGTGAATTAGGCGACGGCGTTCTTATCCAAAAAGTACTTCTACGATAATAAATTATTTTCTTATATGTTATTTTCGTAAGGATAAAACGAGTCGTCGCAGTATCAAGCGCCGCGTAAAGTTTGAATTTTTAGCAAAAATTTGTCTCTTCAGATCTATTATTTTATTAGTTGTCATCGAACGATTCGAGCGTGAGCGATTCTATAGAGACGCGATCGCCGACACGCGACCGCGAATGACCATTGATTTCTTTCTAGGAAGTCCGCGCCTTCAGAATTCCACGGAATCATTTTCCTCTCACATGCTTCTACGGAAAGAAATTATTTTTATCTTTCTGTTTTTATCTGGCTATTTATACTGTTCTACTTTTATTTTTCCTTTTACGTTCTGTGCTACGTTCCTGCCACTCTTTCCTAAGTTGGAGGAAATGTGTGGTGGTTCGTCTGCTATTGTAGCGTCAGTTGTTGCTTCTTTCAATCATATATTATCAAAATTGTTCCATTGTTCCATTCATCAGTTTATTCTGCATAGTTTTCAACGTTTACCCATAATGTCGTTGAACTCCGTAATTTCTAATTGCCATCGTGCATTATTGTATGTGTCAACTGCTTGCTTGGTTATCTGGTATAATTATGAAAATATTTTCGGTTTCTATTTTTCTAATTTTGTAAATTTAATCCATACATTTTCTCTATCGATCGAGGATTAACCCTCGGACAACCCCCCAGGGTTGCAGCGACCCCGCAAAAATTTTAATTTGTCTGCAAATTATTATATTATTATATATATTATTATTATGCTATTATGCTATTATATTATTATACTATTATACTATTATACTATATAATGTATAATAGTAACATTGTAAAATATTACTACCGACGCCGAAAAATAGTTGGGGGTAGTTTTAGAGTTAAAAACGTCACAAAAGTGGATAGTACGTTTCAACGGTGCTATCGAACGAAGCGCGATTTAAGGAACGGAACGATTAAGCGCTAGTCGTTTACCGATCGCAGTACGGTGGCGAAATCTAGAAAAATAGGCAATACTCGATTCGGCTCACGAAATGAATCCAGAGAATGCTCGGTAACGAGTTCGATTATACTGCTTTGGCATGCGTCAGTTTAGCCCCCTCGGCGTTGCACAGCCCGTTCGTTTCGTACGAGTTTCCATGTAACGGGTGTCTCTATTCCCAGGAGGTTTTCTACCCTCTTTTCAAGGCTCATTGCTATGCACCGCTCGAAACTCTGCTAACGACCTTTGCACCCCTGAACCTACGGGCAACGTTTCGAACCGAAACATCTTATCGAGCCACGCGATTGCCTGGATTTGAAATATCCGATCCCCTGGCCGCCTAGGATTTCGTTCGGTTTAGATGTACCGGTGGGCATTATTTATTGTTATAAAACCGTGTACATTGGTCGCGCTCTTAAACGTTAAGTTCTAATTGTTAGGCTCGGTAGTTCTAGAATTAAATAGCTATATGATATATAATATAATATAATAAATATAATATAATAATATAATAATATAATAATATAATAATATAATAGCTATATAATATATATATATATATAATATATATCATTAAAATATTATCTTTAAACATTACAAAATATACATATTCTCTTTTTTTCAAATAATTCCATTAGAATCAATTTACTACGTCGCCGCTCTTAAATATATTTAGAACGCTGAAAGCACGAAGAAGAAATGTGCCCGTCCTCCGTAATAATACTGTAAATGTTACCGTGAATGAAAATGCAGCGATTATTTAATGGCGAAGTGGAACAACGCTAATAAAAACCATAGAATACGTTATATAAATCTGCGAGGAGCCGAGAACGGTCGAAGAAACTCGATCAAACAGCCTCGTTTGTCCGATTCGATAATAATCAATTGGACGTGTGCTGTCCATTCGAACGCACTGAATACGAAATAATTACCCTTCCATCCCCCAAACCCCTCGTTCCTCGTATTTTCTCCCTAGCCGGCTTCTGTTGCAACAGAACGAACGTCCTATAAACGGGATCACACGCTCGCCGGCGCGAGCCAGCTCGCTAATGAAGAAAACAAGCCGTATCGTTCCGACGGAAAAAGTCTACCAGCGACGTACGAGCATGAATTATAGCGTCTGCAGAGCTTCCGTGCTTGTTGTTCGCGTAATGGAAAGATATGCTGCGTTTATATTTGCTCCGTCCATATTTCGAAATCCAGAATCGGAAAATAATGGTCGCGAAATTATGGCAATTCCGGGAAACCAGGGATTCCTGAGAACATTTGAAGCAACTTTTTCCTTAGCGAAAATGCGATCCGCGGCTTCGTTTGCGAGTTATTCACGAAAAACAGCGACCAATGAGAGGCGAGCTCGGCTGGCGCGCGGTCGAAGCCCAGTTCCGCTGATCGGCTCGACTGCCTCGCGCCAGCGGAACTGGCTTCTCATTGATCAGTGTTTTTCGTTAATAATTCGTAAACGAAGCCGCGGAGAAAGTTTTTGTAAAGGAAGAAGTTGCTTCAAATGTCCTCAGGAACCCCTTACTTCCCGTAACTACCATAATTTTGGGACAGCCTGCAGAACCGCTATAATATCGGTTATATATAAATAATAATATTTATAATAATAACATTGATAATAATATTTACGAATAGCCGATATAATATCGGTTCCCAAGAACCGAAATACAAACGACAGCAATTCACGCGACGTTGAACAAAGCGATTAGGCAGGAAAGAAAACAGGCGACGAAGAGTCGAATTTTTCTTTGAAGTTAGGGCTTTCGATACTTCTATCGGGTTCCGATGCGACGTTTCCCATGAAACGATCGCGGTCGATAGAGGCGACAGGCCGCGTCGCAACAGTTAGAGGAGATTCTCCATCGAGGATTTCCATGTATTTCCTCCGAGCGGAAATTTTACGTACGCTCAATTTCCTCGCGCATCCCCCTCGGTCCGCCCTACCGTGGACGCGCGCGCGCCAGATAATATGTACCCCCGTCACGAGTGGCACCTCGCGAACCCTTGCTGGAATTCCCGGTGGGCCTGTATTCTATGCAAACTGCTCGCGGCCCGTGGAGCGACGAGAGTCGATTCGGCGACGAGAGATCGAGATATTCGGCCGAAATACAGAAATCGAACGAGTCGAGAGCGGCCGCCGAGTGCGCGGAAAGGATACGTTCCGGGGTGGAATTTAATTTCTACGATTTTTTCCCTTCGTATCGTCGAACGGTGGAACAAAAGAAATAAAAAGAAGAAGGAACGAAAAAAAAATAAAGACTGCCTTAGGAAAACGGGGAACGTTCGCGAGGCAAATGTGCTGAAAAATTCCGCGAGGACGCGTTTAAAACGAAAACTCGGTACAAAGCAGAGAGAGAACGGGCGAAAAATAATTATGGGCAAGAAATACGCGCGGTAGAAAGGGGAAACGGCGAAAGGAGAGGGAGGAGGGGGGGGGCAGGGATAGCGGGTAGAACAGTAGATATAAAGGAAGCCTAAGGGGGTTGTTCCTGGTCTGCCGGTGGTAAGGGACGGGGGTGCTGGGTGTTACTAATTGAAGGGGTGCCGAGGGGGAAACCTTGTTATCTCTTAATTGCTACGACCCTCCGCACTGTTTTGCATCGATAAGAAGAACCAGCCACTCCTAGTCGACTTTTGTTTCATCTGGTCGCTCGTAGCTATGCGGATCGATCGTCGGAAGTTGCTTATTGTCGTTCGAATGTATCGACTCTTTGTTCCGACAGTTTCTTATCTGCTTTCCTTTGCCGAGATCAAGCAAGAAATTTACGTATTCAGCTCACGTTAGCCAATTAATACGTTTCAATTATTCAGTCGTTTTCGATAGACAGAACTCCCGCCTGCATAATTATACAGGAGGACGTATTATTGAAGGACCATATAATAATATTAATAATAATTATTATTATTCGCGTGCAAAAAATAGCGACGACCAATTAATAAGT